TCTCGGTTGACGTTTCTGTGTAGTATGGGGCTAGCCCAACCGAAGGGATATAATGTATAGGCCTGGTGGGTTCAGGGTCTTTCATCTTACATCTGCCTGCGAGCAGTATGGAGGTGCAAGATGCCTGAGCGTGTAATGTTAATTTTACCTGTGATCCTTTGAATAAATCAGCACTGTTTTGAAGTTGCTTGGACTGCCTCGTCTCTCAGAGTTAGCAATGGTAACAAGAACTGGTTAGCGCAACAAAATAGCGCAACAGGTGCAACCTGTCTAAAGCACTAGAGTAGGACCCAAAGCTCAACATAACATGTTGCCTCTCTTTTCTATGGTCATAGATGGTTATATAATGAATAAGGTTTGGTCAAATCATGTAGAATAAAGCATACATGAACTGAATCCATGTTTTTATAAGTCACTTAATCTTACTCCATTCAGAGCATGACTCATTCTGAGGTCAATGATATTTTGAGTGAAGAGTCTGCAAAGATAAATTAAAGCAGATAATCATTTATTCATTCATTATATTTCCAGTAGCTTGAATTTCATACTTCATACACTAAAAGGAGGAACTTAAATAGAAACCAAGAAAGTATCTGTTAGTACAAATCTCTTTCATAAATACAAAACCATCTGCAATACTGCCAGAAAAGAACATCATTTTGACAGTATAATGAGGACGCAGGGAACCAACACTAATCAGAATATTATAATTCTGTGCATGACTATTGTCACTGTACCCTAAAATTGTTGCACAATACCAAAGTTAGTGATCTAACTCACTGACAAGCAAATCAGAAAACAATCAGAATCAAATGTATATGAACTTTTCTGTCCAGTTAGTTGCAGTACAATGTACACTGGGCACAACAAGAATATACAGTATATTCTCTACAACTAGACTATATTTAATACAGTTCTATCAAGTTAAACCATACCATGCACAATATTGCTTCTTAGGCTGCCTCATAAGCTGCTTGTCTCTGTACAATCACTTAAGGTATTTACAATTTCAACAAGTATTCTACATGACTTTAAAAAGAACTTGATGCAAGTTAAAAGAAAACAAAATCTTGATCCCGTCCAAAGGCCCTCAAGTGTTATTACATGTGACCATTTTTTTTGCCAAATAGGAATTGAATAATGTACTGCACATGCGCACACACACACACACACACACACACAGATATCCATACATTCGTATGCCATGCTGCAGCCCTGTAGAAACAGAGTTGGACACTATTGAAATACATTTATGCACAAGAAATGGTTTGAACAATGTTTTGTTCTGATCCAATGTGACTGTGTTTAACTTCTTGGAGGAATCAAAGCCAGCCCTATGTTTCAAGGCAATGGGAGGAGTCTTTAAAAATGACAAAAGTGAATGAATTACAGAGTCCTCTGCTCAAGCCTATCCATCCTTACATGTGATTCTGCAGTCCTATTACTGTCTGTTCTAGTCACTAAACAACAGAAAAGAACCTCAGAACTGAGTCACCATTTTGAAGAAAAAGGCACTACCTGCTGAAGCACTGAGGCAGGCTGTCATACCCTCAGCGCTTCCCAGTGACCTTCAGATGAAACTCAGTAAGAGCAGGTCACATGCAGGGCAAATGTTATGAGGTCACTTTACTTGCCATGTAGCATTTCAATCTCCTCCTTCATAGGTATAGTTGGGTTAGTCAACCACGTGGTGACAGATGAGGATGTGTCAATGCAGCAATCTCAAGCATGCTGTGTAAGCTGCTCTCAATATTCCGTTTACTGATATTTCACTTTATATATTTACACTGTACACAAGTTACCTAAATGCAGGATGAAATTACATAAATGTTTTACATAATTAAATACAGATTCCTGTACAAGTTTCTGTGTTGGAAAAATACCTGGAGTAATAGTCATTTACTGTAGCCACTGATGACTATTTAAACATAGTAGATAAAATGACAACAAAAACAAATATAGTTCAGATGAGCACTGCACAGTCCGTAAGAGACTCCTGGTATGTTAAGAAGGATAAACTTGTTAATATCCAAGTGTTAATTAATATATGGATTTAGGTAATAACAGATATTTCATGCACTGTTCAAATCAAATGTCTGGTTTAGCTTCTTTCTCACTAAATGCTGATTAAGCCATTAGGAGCGATGGGTTTCCAAGCCTCTCCATAAAGATTTCTACTGAAAACATGGTCTTTGATGAGTGGCCTGTTTTTCACATGTGGCACTGGGGATGGATGTGCCATCATAAAGTCGTGCAGCACTGGGAGATGTGGGGAGCCAGCTGTCAGTGCAGCATCTGATACCGGTCTGTGAGGACTGACTGGTTACACAAATGAGTTCAAGGAGTTCATGGCATTAATAGGGGACGGGGCCTCTGAGCTCTCGTGGCCCTCAGCAACGTCCCTGCTGGTAGTCTTTCCGCTATACTGGCCGATAAATGAGCCGTCTTCATTGAACTGTCCATCTCCTCCTTCTCCGTAGTCAACTAAACTGTCGTCGCTGTCATCTCTCTTAACTGTCCCATTAGATGGCGTGCGGCTCCCTTTTAACGGTTTATGGTCCTCATTGTCACTGAAGGAGAAAACATGCAGGTGTTACAGGTGAGATGATGTGACAGATGCAATAAGGAGATTAGTGATCACTTTTTTAGATGGAGCACTCAACTGCCAAAGGTTACTTTTACCATTACTTACCAAGTCTGGTAAGTAATGGTAAAAAAGTTTTCCTAATTGAAAATTACTTTATTTTCACTAATCTCAGCAGCTTTATATGCAACAGTGAACATTTAAATTTGACTTGCTCCATGTCTAAAAAACGGTAGCTATGAATGATTATGTTGGTTTCCATCAGGCAACAGGGGAATAAAGCTTGAGCAGTTATACCCCATTCAACTTCCCCCTGAAACCATGTATGATGTGGTAAATGTGCTGTTTGACAAAAGCACCCACCCCCCTCAAGACAGATGCTGTGATGAAAAACAGAAAATCCAAGGCAATGAAGTGAATAACACCTGGAAAGCAAGGTTCTCAGCCAAACAACCCCCATAGCAAGCACAAGTATAATCACAAACTGGCAAAACGCATGAAAAATCTGCAAAGAAAGTTTTCTTTGGATATCAGATAGTTGAAAACATTCCACATTTAAACATCAGTGAGATAAGATAAATTAATCTCTATGCAAAGCCATTCTCAGGAAAGAAAAACTAACACGGCAAGCATAAATTAGTAACTTACAAGGTATGCACTGTACATGATGAAGGCTTTATGACCAAATATTAAACTTGATGACAGCTGTGAAAACCTGGGATGTTTATACAGTGAGCATTTTTCTCCTCAGTGACTTGACTATCCACTATCTCTCTACATGCCAGACTAACCGAATGATGATCTTTAGCACACCATGCACCACCACCACCCTTACCTTTCCTGAGACCTACACCCCTGCAATCGGATCAGGAAATTCAGCGGAGATCCCACACAACAGAACAGTCATTCCTAGACATGTCTGCACTATGCATACACTTGACAAGGTTGTATAGGTGTGTGCCAACTGGACAGGCTCCAGTGTCGTGCACAGTCCATGTACAATCTGAACTTAACAGTATGCTCTCCTGCAGTCAAACAAGAACAGCTCAGTCAAGTTAAGTTACGCCTTTATTGACATACTGTAGGGTTCCAGCCGAGCTTAATGAAACATCACGGACAAAAATTATACTCTCACAAAGGCACTATAATATTTATACATCTTGCCTTGTGATTTATTGTCTACTGTATGTTCTTTGACTTGACGTCCATTGGAGAGGTTTCCTTGCAGTGGAAACAAGTCCCTTTGTTTTATCTTCACAAAGTAAGAGAGTTTTAAAGGATAGGTCTGGTGAGAGTCTACATTTATCTTATTGTTCAAAAATCCCATGAAGAGACAAAAACCAAACAATGCATGAATCATACCAACAAGTGCTGCCTGTGTGTCCAGAGCCTGATATATTCCTCTGTACCGCAGAGCTCCATTATTATTTTGTACTACTATATTATTGTTATTATTATTACGGGGCGACATGTTCCTTTGTTACAATAAACATGGGTGCTGCATTTTATTTTTAGTCAAACCCTTGTACACGGTCCTGTGTAACAAATTTGATGATGAAAATAGTCCCCAGTAAATACACTAGTCACTCCCTCCTGTTTGAGTACACTAAAAAAAAATAAAACCAAAAACTAGTCTCCTGTTTTAGGAGATTATTCAGCTCTATCTATCCATCTCTTTCTAACACATTTCACACTAACACATTTTTTTGTTTTGGTCTTTTATCGGGATTTGCTGGAGAGTAATAAAGATGCAGAATACTACCAGCATTACCCTTTAAAATGTATTACTATTAAAGAATGACTACTGGTCTGTTATAAACAACATAAACCAGCTCTGGTGCACAGGGTGATGACTGCTTCCCTCAAGCATGCTGATAATTTCATATTAGATCCATATGCATCTTTATACTAATATATATATATATATATCTATGAACAATAATTCCATTCAATACATCATTGCCTAGAGGAAATACAGTATGTATGTATCAGACCTTCACACCATGCAGTCACATATTATATACTATATATATGTATTGATATGTATTTATCACAGCATAAAATCCAAAGAACTGATTTATGTATTCATAATACAAAAAGGAATATAAAATATAAAAGCAAGACCATTTTATAAATTGACATAGAAAAACAATATGTAAAAATGCTAGACTAGCTATACACAAGTAAAGTGCTTCATTTTTTTTTTCCCACGTGCATTTGGAGAAGCAACCTAGAAAGAGGATGCTAACAAGCATAGCTGGATAACTGCTGTAAGTTAGCAGGTACGATCGGTTCAGTCCTACTGAGCATGTAAGCAGCAGTACACTAGGCAAAGTGTTAATAATATATACTATACACACAAGTAGCTTATTAGTTGGAATGGGATTTGATGCTTGGGGTGATTTTAGGATGTGTTGCAAAAGAAGCTAGCTTATAATTTTTTTTCCTGACTGTCTTATTTAAAATTTTAAAACACCCAAACTCCTAAATCCCTTGAACCTGAAGAATCCTGCTTCTCAAATGACACCACATTGTCATATCAAGCACTCATACAATAGAGTCCAACATAAGTAGCACCCAGGATGTCCCAGACCCCTTCCCAAAAATCTTGTGCTTCGTGGTGGCAGAAGTTCAGGTGGGGTCACTTCTTTTTTGTTTTGAACTTCTGTTATTGGCGATCCTGGGTCATTTCTTGGCCAGCTGTAAGGGTGCGAAGAGGAAGGAGTGCAGAGCTCCAGCCCAGCCACAGAGAGCAGATCTGTGCACAAAGTAGGGACGAGGGAAAGGGCTGATGGCTAAAATGGGCTCTGGTGGCTCTAGAGGCCGGGCCACTTTCTCTCACCTGTATTCCCCAAAAGTACAGTCGTCATCTTTCATGGGCTGGAACTCTGGGTCTGTGTGTGCGTCCTCCTTCTCTTTGACTGGTGGGAAAAAATGCAATTTAGACAAACCAGCATATGAAGCAGAGGAAGAGGCAATCATGAGGGCACATGTCTAATATTATATACAGTGCCTTGCGAAAGTATTCGGCCCCCTTGAACTTTGCGACCTTTTGCCACATTTCAGGCTTCAAACATAAAGATATAAAACTGTAATTTTTTGTGAAGAATCAACAACAACAAGTGGGACACAATCATGAAGTGGAACGAAATTTATTGGATATTTCAAACTTTTTTTAACAAATAAAAAACTGAAAAATTGGGCGTGCAAAATTATTCAGCCCCTTTACTTTCAGTGCAGCAAACTCTCTCCAGAAGTTCAGTGAGGATCTCTGAATGATCCAATGTTGACCTAAATGACTAATGATGATAAATAGAATCCACCTGTGTGGAATCAAGTCTCCATATAAATGCACCTGCACTGTGATAGTCTCAGAGGTCCGTTTAAAGCACAGAGAGCATCATGAAGAACAAGGAACACACCAGGCAGGTCCGAGATACTGTTGTAGAGAAGTTTAAAGCCGGATTTGGATACAAAAAGATTTCCCAAGCTTTAAACATCCCAAGGAGCACTGTGCAAGCAATAATGTTGAAATGGAAGGAGTATCAGACCACTGCAAATCTACCAAGACCTGGCCGTCCCTCTAAACCTTGAATAATTTTGCACGCCCAATTTTTCAGTTTTTTATTTGTTAAAAAAGTTTGAAATATCCAATAAATTTCGTTCCACTTCATGATTGTGTCCCACTTGTTGTTGATTCTTCACAAAAAATTACAGTTTTATATCTTTATGTTTGGAGCCTGAAATGTGGCAAAAGGTCGCAAAGTTCAAGGGGGCCGAATACTTTCGCAAGGCACTGTATTGTATGAAATTCCCCATACAGTCATTTTTATAGTTCTCATGTTCATTCCTGGCCATTATTCATATTGAATGCAACTGAAAGCTACAGGAAAGAACTGTTCCCACCATGACAAAAATATTTGCTCAGTTTATTGCTATAACAAGAGCATCTTTGTGTTTTAAATATTTTTTCATGTTATAACAATATATTTTAATGATATGACATTTCTCTTGTTGTTTTCTTATTTCTTGTTATGAGAAACTATCAATATACTACCCTATCAATATACTACCCTCATATCTCATCTGATTTGCATACTTTCAACACAAAAACATGTTAAAACTGAATCTTCAGATCTTATTAAACACAACTAAATGTCACCAAAAAATTATATACAGTTTATACTGTATACAAGTGCGCCTATGGGGGTGCTTGCGAGACTATTTACCAGGGTATTTCCCTCCTTTATTCCTCTGGATGAAGCAGATAATGAGGAGGATCAGGATGAGCAGAGCGATGGCACACATCAGGCCAATGAACCATCCCTGAGTGGCAATATCCACCTGTCTGCTCGCCACAGCTGGCCAGAGGAGGAGAGGAACATTTATTACTAGGCGATCGTTTCCCCAATAGGAAGGGAAAATAATCACTTATCTTAAAACAACCTGGAGCCTCAAGTCAGGGTTACATACTTTAGCATACACGTTATCTGATAGTCAGGAACTTCAGTTTACAAGTGGATAATGATTATTATTACAGTACATCTAACTTGTATGTTAGATGAGTTAGAAATTTCCCGTATTAAGCTAATGGCGACATACTGGATGCACATTAGTTCTAAATGCAGGAAATGTTTGAAGGGCCCCAGAAGACAATCACAGAAACACAGAGGCACACGTAGACAATCACAGTTACACAAACACATATACACATAAAGGTTCTGTATTTGTCAATGATATTAGGTTGGATCTTGTAACACTAAACATATATTAAACTTCTATATTAGAACAATATCCACTTTTCGAATCACCAAGTCTACAGGATTGACTTAGTTACACTGAAATGGAACCACAGAATCATACATGCTGCAGTATACAAACTCTATATCACTGTAGTACATCTGGCCTACAGAGGGACCACAACACCTGTTAAACCTATGCTTGACTGGGTTATATTTACACAGTGGCACAAACTACTACACATTCTACACATGACACAGTGCCAGGCCAGGCCAGGCCAAGGTGGAGGCAACCGCCCAGCAACTGCCTCACCTGGGACCGTGACCAATAGCTCCTCGGAGTGGTGGAGTGGCTGGTCATGGTGACCTTTGGCCACCAAACGCACCCTATAGGAGAGGCCCTCCTTTAAGCCCTTCAGCATTACATTCCGAGAGCCGTTCACAAGCTCTTTCTGCCATTCCTCTTCACTTTCACCTGCAGGAGGGACGTTCACGAAGAGAGGTACATTTGAGGCGGTGAATTTCAAATGGGCCATTAAGGTCATGACATCATGGGAACTAAATGGTTGAAAAAGACCTCTACTGGTATAGGATTACACTGCAAGCAGTGATATCTATGTTAGATTTAAGCAGTTCATATTAATGGAATTGTGGCATGATGCAAATCCATTAAAGTCTGTGAAGGAGTTATTACAGTGGCCCTGAGAAGTCAATGAATTGCAGGAAAACACATGCAAATAATAATAAATAAATAAAAAACATGCAAAGAAGAGAACAATTTCTTCAGCTTGGCTGCACATGTGTTCTGTGTGACTTGCAGTGTTTCTGTACTGGATAGTTTTACTCTATTTAGCTGTTTTTACTCAACCTTTTATTTCAACCATGCCAGATGGCAGGCTCTTGGGATGGCAGTGTTGGTTATTCACTTTGGTCGAGACTAGAATATCTCAAAATCTACTGGCTGGATTGCAATGCAATTTTTCATTTATGTACCTAGAAGACAATTCCTATGGCTGCTGGTAACTGACTTTTTCCTCTGGTACCACATCAGTACTTCATTGTGTTAAAATGTCTGATGGATGGATTAAATGATAGGATAACACACTGAACCCAGTTTACATCATTGGGTGCTGGATCCTCCAAAAAATGGATGGATCACCATGACTTTTGGTGCACAAATTCATGTCCAGCTCAAGATTTCAATTTGTTCAATACGTTTTGACCAAATGCTTGCACAACAATGGGGCTTCTATTGGCCTCTGCTGTGCTAATTTACAAATGCTAGCATACTAACATGCTAAAATAAGGTTGCGAACATGCTAAGCATCATACCTGCTAAACATCAGCAAAGTAAACGTAACACTGTGAACATCCTAGCATGCCAATGTTAGAATTTAGCTCAAAGTTCCGCAGTGCCTATAGTACAGCCTCATGGAACTGCTAGTGTGGCTGCAGACATTATAAGTGCTGCATATGTATTGTCAAATTGGTGATAATGTTTTATTTGGTTCTTTTTTTTCTATTTGCATGTGTGTTCTTAAGTGGCAGTGCACTGAGCTCTCAGGGCCACTGTACATAGAATATACATATGGTGATGAGTTTAATATGAAATGTGTTTGATGATCATAAGATTATGCCTTTAATATTTTAAAAATTACTGGGATCTGTGATAATAATATTTCTTAAGTAAAATCATTAAACAGTTGGTGCGAGAGAGCCATACTACAACAACATAGTGATTTTCATCCTCACTGCAGGTGGATAAAATCAATGTTCTTCAGTCAAAAAGCAATTGACAAAACAAGAATGTTTGGGCTTTTTAAATGATGTTTGTCTATACAAGTTCCAGCAAGGTAGTCATAAGAAATCCACGCAACTCCAGTCAATAACAGCACTGCATAATTAACAGTCCAATCATAGTTAGCCTTGTTTATCACATCTAGAGCCATGTTAGCAGGAGCCAGGATCAATATGACTGCCAATATTTCTATTCACCTGCATAAGCCAATAATGAAGTAGGAGTCTCTTGCAACCCATGAGCAGAACGGAGACAAATAAAGGTATCTTGCTTTGCTTACAGTTTTCTGCTATGTATTCTACATATACGTTTCCCTCCGGGCCCCAGTACTCCCAACTGATCAGGGCCCCGTCCTCTCCAACTGAGGAGCTAACGTTCCCAAAAGGACTCTCAGGCTGTACTGAGCACACAAGAGAAAAGAAACATCACTGAATCTAGACCCTCATAGACTTTCACAATAGCAATTTGAAACCCATACACTAAACCAACAAACACAAGAACACATGACCTCATCGTATAACAGGTCAGACATTAGCAGTATCTGTACCCTTGTGGGGCCGACGGTGCGAAGGAGACCGTGCAATGGGATGAGAGGTTTGGGTGCTTCCTGTAAACAACATGGAGAAGGGTAAAGACCACACCAGACATGAGACACACACACAGAGACGCAAACTGTTTGCACAGGCACCACAGACACTGACATCATTAACATAGTGCACACAGTTCATTGGCAAGCCAAGCAAACCCTTGCCATGCAATGGTAAAGCATCACCAGCATCCACAGAGGAAGAAGTGAGAGGGTCAGAATCGCCAAAGGCACAGTGAAAGAAAATATGCCAGTGCTTTGAAAAGACTCGTCCAGTGTTAACACATTAAAATGCCACGTCACATAGCATTTTTATCTATGTGGCTTTGAACTACTTTCCATAGCTTTGAACTCAGTGAAGCATTTTGGTGGGCTGCAGAATTTGAAAGAGGTAAGATGAAACTGCTTAAAGATGAGGGGTGCATGCTTGCAATGGGGCTCAGAAGCTAATGCCGTATCTGTTAAACATGCACCCATGTAGATAACACAATTACCTGCACCCACATCTACATCAAGCTGTGATATTAGGGCTTGTAAAAAGAAAGAGGATACAGAGAAACAACAGGACAGGGCTCATTATAGGATGACTCCCCACATGTCAGTGTATGCACTATATGTAACAGTGAGACATTCAGGTGGTCGTGCTATATGATGTAAGACTGAATTAAACGTAAGATGATCAGTCTGAGGTTTCATAACATGATGGGCCACAATACAACTGGATCACACTCCCATAAACATGGACATGGATCAAGAATGCTACAATATATAAAATACTTCAGATATAAAGAAAATGCTGTGGAATAATGTGCATTATACTTTACATTTAACATTTCACAGACAAGTCACATAAAGATGACTCAACATAAGGTTGCAACTAACAGTTAAGCTCTTATTTTTTTCATTATTCAATCATTCATACAGTAAAATGTCAGAAAATAGTGAAAATTTCCATCAGTGCCCAGCAATGACATAAAACAAATATTTATACTTGAGCAGGTGGAACCAGGAACGTGTTTGTCATTTTTGCTTTGTAGAAAAATCCCTTAAGTAATTTTCTAAACTTTGTTGTTGTTGCTGCTGATATTCTGTCAATAAATCAGCTAATAGTTTCTATAACATAGTGCACACAGTTCATTGGCAAGCCAAGCAAACCCTTGCCATGCAATGGTAAAGCATCACCAGCATCCACAGAGGAAGAAGTGAGAGGGTCAGAATCGCCAAAGGCACAGTGAAAGAAAATATGCCAGTGCTTTGAAAAGACTCGTCCAGTGTTAACACATTAAAATGCCACGTCACATAGCATTTTTATCTATGTGGCTTTGAACTACTTTCCATAGCTTTGAACTCAGTGAAGCATTTTGGTGGGCTGCAGAATTTGAAAGAGGTAAGATGAAACTGCTTAAAGATGAGGGGTGCATGCTTGCAATGGGGCTCAGAAGCTAATGCCGTATCTGTTAAACATGCACCCATGTAGATAACACAATTACCTGCACCCACATCTACATCAAGCTGTGATATTAGGGCTTGTAAAAAGAAAGAGGATACAGAGAAACAACAGGACAGGGCTCATTATAGGATGACTCCCCACATGTCAGTGTATGCACTATATGTAACAGTGAGACATTCAGGCGGTCGTGCGATGTGATGTAAGACTGAATTAAACGTAAGTTGATCAGTCTGAGGTTTCATAACATGATGGGCCACAATACAACTGGATCACACTCCCATAAACATGGACATGGATCAAGAATGCTACAATATATAAAATACTTCAGATATAAAGAAAATGCTGTGGAATAATGTGCATTATACTTTACATTTAACATTTCACAGTCAAGTCACATAAAGATGACTCAACATAAGGTTGCAACTAACAGTTAAGCTCTTATTTTTTTCATTATTCAATCATTCATACAGTAAAATGTCAGAAAATAGTGAAAATTTCCATCAGTGCCCAGCAATGACATAAAACATGCAAATATTTATACTTGAGCAGGTGGAACCAGGAACGTGTTTGTCATTTTTGCTTTGTAGAAAAATCCCTTAAGTAATTTTCTAAACTTTGTTGTTGTTGCTGCTGATATTCTGTCAATAAATCAGCTAATAGTTTCTACATTACTTTACAAAAGAAACAAAAAAACACACACACACACACACACACACAAATAAAACACTGAGCTTCATAATCACCAGCATTTCAGAGTTTGGAGAAATGTTTCTCAGTGTAAACCAACAATTTCTAACTTTGAGAATGCACACACAGCGAGGTGCAGCCCTGTGAGCACCACGCTTTATCCACCATATATTTTTGGCATCTTGCCTTCATTTGAACTTCTTGTTTCTTTTTACTTTCCATCGATGTAAATACTAAAGATTATGAAACAACATTACCAGAATCTTTATTTCTAAAGGACACCGAAGTTTCCAAAATAAATACTGTATAATTAACCATAAAAATAAAACATAGAATATAAAACAAACTTTTCAAAATATTTTTAAATCATCAACCATCCTGATGAAGGCAAGATAAAATGTTTGCTTAATTAAGTATGATGTGTTTTAAATCTGCCTGGACTACAGATGAAGAAGATATTTGGATCCTTTTACCTGATTGGTATAGACACAGCTGACAAGAATCAGTTTAAATGTTCATCAAGCTTTCCAGCTAAAGAAACATAAAAACTATTGAGGTCATTTTGTTTGAGTCATTTACATTTTCTGACTTACCTTCATCCATGACGGTGACAGCTTCCTGAGAAATGGTGGGGCCTGCTCCCCTGACTGTTTTGGCATTCAAATAAAACTTGTAGCGTGTGCTGTACTTGAGGTTGAATAAAGTGACTGAGGTCTCATTGGCGGGCAGAGCCAGCTCCTCCACTGGGCCCAGCTCATTGGAGTTATTGACTACAGGGTTGGAGGATCGGTGACAGGAATAATGGGATGGAAGGGGGTGGAAGTAGTGAGGTAAGTTGAACGGAAGTATAAGGAGAAGGGGGTCACAGATGGGGTTGAAGTGTCAATGATGAAAAAGGTGGAAATTAAAGCATTTGGAGTACAGAGATGTAGGGTTCAGGAGTAGAAGGCGGGAGTGACAAAAGTTGATTTGTTAATTTGTGTTGTTGGAATTTAGGCAAAATAACTTGTTTAAAATGCTCTCAGACTCTAACCTTGTCTAAATCTGAGTCTAAAAAAGGATGACATGAGAAAGAATGACATACGAAAGTACAAACTAATGAAGGAAAGTGACATTAAACACTAGGCGGAGGCATAAATGCCCAGCTAGGCCCAGTTCTATGACTCACTCTAACTGCTACCGTTAACATACAAGCCTCACCTGGCTGATATCTGAGGGTGTAGCCAGTGATGCGTCCATTGCGGTCATGAGGAGGACTCCATTCAAGAGTTAAAGAGTCCAGGTTTGGGTTGGTGACTGACAGGGAAGTTGGACGCCCAGGCACTGTGGAAAATGCAGAGCTCATCAAAGTAAAGCTAAAGAGGGTTGCAAAACAACAAAGGGAACAACTGAAGAGAGACAGTGTCTATGTTAAGGGTTCTTGATAAGATTTTAGGGTCTAGTCTTACAGCTCATCAGAGAACCAAGAGACTATCAACCAATTTTTCAAACCTGAAATCAACAGTAATATTTTTGTTCTTTATATGCACCATCAATAGATATCATCAACCATCATAGTTTTATAGTTATATTACAATTTAATGTTTTACAGCGTTGTTAAAGGCCTAATTCTTTAACTATACATATCACGCTGAAGGTATTTTTTCTTATAGAACTGATGATGTTCAGACTTTGGTGGATAATCAGCATTTTTGTAATTAACCACAGACTAAACTTTTATGCCAGTATTTTCAATATTTATATTTACAATATACATTTTACAATATACTTAGCTTTGTGTTTACAAGTAGATAACACATATGGTTTTAATGCTTAAGATCAGAACTAGCAATGTATACAGTCACAAAAAGTATGCAATAGTATAAATACCTGAATAAGTCTGAACAGTAGTTCCAGATTAATACTGGATGTTAAGTGTTTACACTGGACAATCCAAATTAAGTGTTAACAAGTTCTGATTCCTTCTCCTACCTCCCTCAGGCATCTCAAACTGCTGGGTAGGGCTAGCGGGACCTTCTCCTTTGCCATTATAAACTCTGACATTGAATGAGTAGAGGCTGAAGGGGTGCAGACCAGGCAGCATGCCATGGCTGTGGTTCCCACTGAAGGACAGGATCTGCTTCTCCATGTGATGGGGGTTGTGTTTGTGAAGGCTGCGCTCTCTCCAGTAGTACACCTACAAGACAGGTAGTTTACAGAGAGTATCGAGAGAGTGTGTGTGTGTTTGTGTTATGGTTGGTGAGATGGGTGTACAGGTTACATTGCATGTGATCAATTACATTGTACCTTATATCCTTTGAGATGTCCCCGTATTAATTTATGAGGCACAGGATCCCAGCGCACCTCTGCCACAGTGCTGTTCAGCACCAGGGCCTGAACATTTTCTGGAGCTGCTAGAGGCACTGTACAAGACAAGAAACACCACACAACAACAGTTATATATAAAAGGAAACACTGAGTCAGTGCTATAGCCACTTGTATCATCCCAAGCTCTAAAGAAACGGTCCAACTCACAGTCCTCTCCTGAGTAGCCGAGGGCAATGGCAGGCTCAGGTCCAGCTCCATATTTGTTCACAGCCTGAACTTTTAGCTCATATGGAACAAACGTGGGGCTTCCAGACACAACAAACTCAGAGTTGTTGGCTACATTCACTGTGGTCCAATCACTGTCCACCGCCTTCTGCCTCCACATTACTCTGTAGTGAAGCCCTGGACCATTCGACTGGAGGCCTGATAGCGGCTACAGAGGAGAAAGTTTTAAATGTGGCTTATTGTTTAATACCTTAGTCTTCATAAAATTAATAACTGTATACTATGCAATATATGGCTTTGGTGGTTGATAATAAAAGATATATTCTGGAAAAAAGAAAGAAAGAAAGCGTATACTGTAAGAGCGGGCAATAACAAAATCGTGCCTCACAGTAGAAAGACAATTTTATGTGTGGTGTTCCCTGGGCAACAGTAAAAGCCTCCAGATTAAAATGTATAGCCTTATACAATTTTATTACCTTCCACGAGATTACAAGATTGTTATGTTCTGTTCCAAATCCCTTTACATCTGTTGGGTTCTCATCTGGAGCTGAAAAATATATTGATAAATGCAAAATGAAACATCATCTCAAAGATACAAAAGGATATAAAAGGTAATGCTACACTATTTTGCTTTAATATAGTTGCTTATAAAACAGCTTTGATTTTTCAAGATGTAATCATTTATATTAAAAACAAATCTTCTATTTTGCTCATTATTTATGTATTTTCAAAGATAGATAAATGTAGAAGTATTTTACAGATAAATGTCCACATGGGAAACTCTTACCTGCAGGTTCAGTTTTGTACATCCTGGAGGGGGCGCTGGGGCTACTGAAAGCCACAGCATTGAGGGCCAAAACTCTGAAGATGTAGTGGACGTAAGGAGACAGTTTGAGGTGAGCTGTTGTCTTGGTTCCAGGGACCTCAGTAAGGTTATGCCAGTGACCTCTATTGTGCAGCAAGTCTTCATACTGGATCAGAAATTCTACATCAAATAAAAAACAGCATATATTGTACATAACTGACCAATTTATACACTGCCTGGCAGTATTTTAGTAAAACTAAAATGATTGCAGTAAGGGTGTATTTAGATACTGAATCTCCCAAAGCAAGGTGCAACATTTGTCTACATATTCCAGTGTTGCACTGAGGCTTTAAAAACATGTGAATTTAGCCATGTTGTCATAAAACGATGTGTGATGATGTTGCAGTAGTGTCTTGAGACTTGTCACTACTGACATCCACTATAACCACTGAACTGAAGTCGACTGTGGGAAAGAAAGCCTCCATTATAACCTCAGTTGACACCTATAGGGATAATTACTTTGCACTTCCATAAAGCTGGGAGAAAATCACCAGAGACAGTGATATCCTGACTTTCACTCCGTATAATATAGTAATCAAAACATTCTGGAACCTACATCTTCTGTAAAGCAATTTAAAAGCATATTTTGTTAAGACTCTTCCTGCCTCTCAACGTTCACTTTTTTTCAACCAACAAGCACGGGTAAAGTTCATATACACGTATAGTCCAAACAGGAAGACAGCCATACAGACACACACACTTAAAACATACTCTGAATGGGACTGTTATGCTCATCCCCAGGGGTCCAAGTGAGCTGAACACTCCTCCTTTTCTGGTCCGTCAGTTCCAGGTCAGTTGGGGGGTCAGGTTTTTCTGGGGGGAGATACCGCACAGGGAGCAACATCAACACTGAGATGACTTTCACATTGACTTCATGTTACAGTTACAGAATCTGAAGAGCTCATGCCCCAAGAAAATGAAGCATAAACACAAAGACATCTGATGGTGCTATAATAACAAATAACACGTATGTTGGTACAACCAAGCACATCTTTGAATTACTCCTCCATTTCTTTTCATATTACATTTGACAATGTTATTTGCCCTGTGAGACACATGCAGACACTGCGTCATGCATAGAAAATGACTGATGCTCAGCTTGAGCGTGTTCCATAATCACTGTGAATCAAATTGAGTCTCGGGCTCACTAGAGAGACTAAATTGATGTTCATGTTTTGGAACTGTAATGATAGAGTGAAGCGCATGCTTTGAATAAAATGAGTGACGAGGAAATGGTGCATTTATAAAGATTCCAAGTGGTGCAATGGGGAGACGTATGCTTTACCAATTATCTTTGAATTCAAGTATGAGCGATAATTGCTTGCACCTTAATATTTGATGTTTGCATCAGTGGTTGAACACATTCAAACAAAAATGGAAAAACATACAGTAACGATAATTTTAAAAGATTAAGAAAAAGACACTTGAAAGACAAATCTGTGGGTAACTCAAAATGAAAAAAAAAAATGGAAATGCTCTGTCTCAAAAAACAAGCAGCATCTTCAGGTCACAACATGCTTCACTTAACATAAATATCCAACGACACAAGCTCATGTCAGCAGAGCACATCTGGGTGCTTGTGTGCACTGCAGCTTTACCGTAGACAACAGCTGGTGTTGGCGTGGCCTCTGCCAGGTAGGAGGGCAGGAGTGAAACAGGGAGTTTAGTGGTCAGTCAGCCATATGAAAATGAAGATGATTATCCAGCTTGCTAAGAGAGCAACCATCAAATATTCATACTGCTGACTAAATGTGCTCCAACCCTCTCAAGTCAACTGTCAGGGAATTAACCTTGAAGGGCTGAAAAGCAATTTGCTGTGTAAGTTAGTGGACAGCTTCACTTTTCTGGGAAGATCTGAGATGAAGAGAAGTCACACTAATCACTTGTGAGTTTGTTCTATGAGTCAGTGAAATTGGCACATACCGACAACAGTGAGCTTAGCGCTGGCTGAATCATGGTCCAGAGTGGTGTTCCTGATGCAGGTGTATACACCAGCGTCGTTCTCTGTCACATCAGTGATGGTGAGGCTGTCAGAGTCAACTACTAATCTGTAAACAAAGCAATCCGTACAAAAACTTTTTTAACAGCCAGGCAGTCAAACCAAGATTAGGTATCCAAGCCAGTAAATTAAAGGGAAGACAAATACAGCAACAGACAGAACAGTAAAACTTCTTTTAAGTTGATAAATACTGACTAGATCAGCTACATCTGACAGCAAACACATGGTTAATGGTCTAGAAAGTGAGACGTGTCCGATCGTAAACAGCAGCTCTGACCTCTCATCATCGGGAA